AGCCATTGTATTCGAAAAGTAGGTGGCTGACTGTTGCATATTCATATTAGTAATGTGTACTTTTTAAATGTTTCTATGGCATATGCGTTATTATTTATTTAAAAAAGTGTTCTACCGATTGAGCGGTTTATTCTTAGTGCATATTAATATAAAGCCAAGTCCAAGCACAAACACCGTACTTAGATATTAGTCATACCATTATTACGTTTCACTAAATGCTTAAGACAGTTATCACATCCGTTAAAAGGTGTAATAAAGACAAAGTAGTAGTGTTGAAGTCTTGTTTATGGAGAGTTTTGTTCGACACAAATGTACACAAACACTATTCGTTTTCAACGATATTATTATGTGCCAGGACTTCGTGGAGTGGACGAGTTACATATACTGAACAACTTTTTTTAAGTATATGTTACACATCCACCCCACGAAGTCCTGTAATATACTCGTAATATTATTACAATTCTTATAGTGAATCGTTTCTAATTCATACGTAATTCTGAACAGGGTCTTACATAAAATTCGCATACAGTCAATGGAATATTGTAACGTTCATACGCATAGGTGATTTTACTAATTTTAAGCCCCATCAATGTCCAAATTCTCATTTCAACCAATGACATACAATTTACTCTGTAATTTCGGTGACTTTATTATAAGTGCTTTTAGTTTTACTTTAAGTCTACATCAGTTACTTTCCACTTGTATATAAAGTAACATTTATTGAGTTAATTTTAATTAATTTATCAAGGTGAGCCGCAAGATTAACCAACAACGGATATAAGTATGTACTCTGTTTTAATTGTACGTAAACTCATAACCAGGAAATTACTTCTTACAGCGTGTGATTTTTAACATTTTCGTTTTTAGTAGAAATCATATTGACTAGCCTACACAATTTAAGAACTATTTTCTTGTTTATCTTTATTCATATCTTTAATCGGAGGTTTTTATTAGATTACGACAAGATGAAGCTAAAATAAAATCTGCCTCTATTTTACTTTTTATTAATACACTTTAACTTAAACATTATTTAAAGTAAACTTTCTCATTATCTCACCTATGCACATAGTGGCTCATATTTTTAACATTTTTAATTAACAGAAAATATTAAACCTATGTAATCATTCTATACAATCATTATTATTGTAACGAGGACAATAGATGACACAGACTTGGTGAACTGACAAAACTTATTATCACAAATTGGGTTGGGTTTTCTTTGTGAAAAGCTCTTAAAGATTTTGAATAAAATTATATAAAAAAAAACTATTTGTTTTATCGCGACTTCATCCGTGCAAATGATATCTGAAAAAATTTTCATAATCAGTAGTTTTGGAGCCTGTTCGATGCAAACAAACAAACAATCATATCTTTCCTCTTTATAATATTATTACAGATAAATAAATATTGTAATAAATATATAAAATTAACCTAATAGGTTATAACGGTGTTTTCGATTTGCTTATTATGAAATACATTTATTATAATAAAGACTACAGTTACACAGGTGTATTAATTAAAACTTATAGTTATGAATGAAAACGGTTATTTTTGGCTATTTTAATTATAGTAATACTTATAATTTACTATTAATTTCTTTAATAGCAAAATAATTATGTAGAATAATCACTATTGTAGTCTGTGAGAATTCCGATTATTCCGTTGCCATAAAAGTTTAAGAAAAGTTTCCATCGACAATGGCAAATTGCCCAGTGTTTGCTGTTTTTAGCCCATTAAAAGAATGCAAGCTTTTACAAAGATTTTTGGGACACTAAAGCTCACATAATATTGTTTAAAATTTTTCACAAATTGGATTTTATCTAAATTAGTGATTTCTATATTTAACAACATTTTACTAATATCCAAGGGTAGACAGTAATCCAGGACACTACCGTCTTTATAGGTAAACTCGCCTTGGGCGCTCAAATTTAAGGGGCGGCATGGCATGGCAAACAGATTCATCATCAGCCCATTATTTCGTCCCCACTGCAGGGGCTCCGGCCTTCCTAATGGTTGGTTACGGAGCATGGGCCATGACCCTCCACGCCAGCCCAATGCGAATTGGCGGGTATTAACGACTGCAAATGCAGCCGGTACCAACGGCTTAACGTGTCTTCCGAAGCACGGAGTAGCTTGAGATAATATCAGTTTAGGAGATGTATTATAGTATAATTACATAACATTTAAAACAATTAAGGTTTCACTTTCCGAAACCGTATGACATTAACACGTAGCAATAAAATACTTCGCGTAATAAGACTAGTATTAAATTAATTAGTCATACCATTTCACAGTCAAAGACGTTTGAATAAAAAAAGACGTGATGTATTTTCTACTACTCTTTAATGGAAAGTTTCAATCTTATTGCTTTTTGGATAAGGTTTAGTTAGATGCAATGCATTTCGTTACGATGTTAAATATGTAAAGGTATTTTGGCTGTAGGATTAAAATAAGCGGCCAACCCACGCGGTGAACGCCTGTGTGACCAACGTTTATTATAATAAGCACACTATTTTTGATACAGTATAGTCATAGAAGTTTTTTGTTTATTATTAATGTATAGTATTTAGGAAGTGCCTATTTATTCAAATTCAAGATAAAGCCGAAAGAAGACTTTGGACAAAGCATACAATCTGTTTTGTATACATTTTTTTCAAAGTACCAATATATATTAAATAATGATCAATAAACTTAGTTACTTCGTATTCAGTACGGCCCGTTACAGTATTTCCAATGTAGTTTATCTTTTAGTAAAATAAGATAATATTTGAGAATCTTTCAGTGAGATAACATTTTTTATCTGTGGTAGTTACGATAATTTATTTTATTTTCTCAACTAGATGTTTTGACAGCTCTGCATATGTGTATACCTATTTGAAATTAATTCGCCAGAATTTGTACCCGCTGAAATATTTTTTATCTTTTTGGTTTAATCTGAAAGTATGGTTAACATTTCAAATATAATGTTATAATATGATTCATTCACACACAAGTAAACAATGATATATAAGAAACTCACGGCTTTAAAAGAAACCTCGCTTTGTATTAACTTATTATTTGTTGCTGTTTCTGGTGGCCTCAAAATGTGATGCCCTAAACAATAATTATTTTACTTATTGACTAACACGATACTGTACTATGAAATCATATAGTCATGGGTAGTCTGAGAAAACGAAAGTAGGAAATTAACTTTACCAATATGCATTGATCTTTCAATTATTTTTTTAGGTACACAATTTATTTTGTTGCCGCTTGACCTTTCAGATATTATATTCGAGCGTGACGACAATTGAATACGAGAAATCCTTCTACATAAAAAAATCTCAATGAATATCGATAGGGCAACTAGAGTCAACCACTGACCTAATACTGATTGTGTACTAAACTAAATAATATTCGTGAAATATATTTAAAGATGAGTACTTTAACAAAACAAATAATGTGGACTTTATTTAAATTGAATTCAAATGTTAAATTAGTGAAAATTTATAAAAGAATGCTTTTACAATAATCTATATTGTTAATGTCAGCAAGTAATTGTTAGCAATTCTGTTGCACTAACCAGACTAAAGTTAGATTTATGCATGTTAAACCGTGTTATCAATGTTTGTAAATAACTTAGTTTGTTAGAAGAAATTGTATTTGTACTTTATTAGTGTAATTATATTTGTTTATTTGCAAGTGACTGTGAAATAACGTTAAAACAAACCAGAATCGAAATGAAATTTTTAGTTTTGTTCAGTTTAACGAGTGGTGCAACAGAATTGGCAACATTGATTACATAAAATTTTGGTGTTTTAACTACCTCGTCTTTGTCTATTAGTGGCCGACCTCGCTATTTTGTCTCGCCTTCTTAAGTACGAGTATATTTTATGGGCTACCAATATTCGACGAAGGAACCTAATATAGAATATTACTCTTAACATGGGATAAATTCGTTATTCAAAATATTTCTTATAGTAAAAAAAGCTTGGAAAAACACTAAATTTTGAAATCAAAAGTAAACAGAAACACGCAGATTTGCTAAACTTGTAGAAAATAGTCAATTTTTTCCCCATTAGGAATTATTTCGGAAGGAATCGTAGTAGGTATTATATATTAGGAATATTATTCCGTATTAGGTTCCTTTACTAGGTACTATGTTTAGGTATTGGGACTATTTGCTTAACGTTATTGTTAGGGTTCCATACCCAAAGGGTAAAAACTATCACTAAGAGTCCGCTGTCCGTCTGTCTGTTCCGTTGTCTATCAAACTGTCTGCACCAGGCTGTGTCTCATTAATCGTAATTGTTTGCTTTTTTGTAGAAAATGAAACCATTAGTGCAGTGCAGTGAGTAAGATTAGCAAATACAAATCTGTGTTATACGAAAAATCCAGTCTTTGTATACCTTGAGATAAGAGTGTTCTGCATGGTTACGATGACGCAAATGTTATAATCTAGGTATGTACGTATGTAATGTAGGTGATGATTTTGCACACCTGATTTAAAAGAGATTTATAGTGGCGGTTCACTATGATTATGGCGAGAAACCATGAACTGATAAATAAAAATAAATAGTAAATCGGTTACAAATTTGTAATTTGTCTTAATTTTTCATAAAATAGATCGCAATTTCCAGTATAAAAGTAATCTAATAAATTGTTTTGCCCTTTAAATAAAATAGGGTGAGTTCGAGTCGAACGTTATCTGTCCTTGTCGCTTCCGTGCGACGACTACAGTTCTCTAGGTTATGACGTCAGATGTGGGTATGATTCTTTTCTCGTCTAATAGGGATTAAAAATAGGGACTTCAATCAATAATGTATTTCAATGGTAAAAATCTAACACAATGTAGGTATAGATATGTATAGGTATAAAGAAATTATAGGTAACCATTCTACAGGCAAAGTGAGGCAGTATTAACTACGCAATTGTAACACTCAGATTGATACGTTAAACTAAAATCTAGCATACAGCTTTTTTAGATGTAGATTGTACGCACGTAATTTAAATATACTTACCGCTTTAACAGATTCGCCATTTTAGTTCCCCGCACTATTTAGGTTTGTGTTAATTGCCAAATTTAGTACACTGCAACAACTAATTGTTTAGAAAGTGACACATCCATCCTTAGCCCCGGGCATTGTAACTGTGAGTGTATGGTATCATGACAGATCGAAGTTTTGTCAACATTATCTAGATCATAATCTTGGAACAACACGTCAATCAAGCGCCAGCCACTTATCTCCCGGCCTTTGATATAAGGAATTGTCACGTGGAAAATGTATGGGATATTATTCTTATGATTTGTGCAATAAAAATCCATTTTTCCATAAAATTTCATATCGGTGAAAAATAATTATTATTTTAAAAGGGGTTAATTTTTCAAGAACTATTGTAGTCGGGCTGAGGTATTCTGTAGGCTATTAATGATACCGCTCGTCTTCAACTTGAGAAGTCGAGCGGTATCATTAATAGTCTTGAGAAATTAACCGGTTTTAAGATAATAATAATTTTTCACCTTTATAAAATCTGAAGTCTGTTTTATTTTTTGGTATATGTTTTTATATCATTATTTTCTTGTGATACTTATTTAGGTTCCAAATATTTTGTATAGGTATCGCTAAAAGTCTTGAAATTTTTATTTATTTGCCCGACGTAACTACGAAGAAATCAGAGAACTTGCATAAAAATATTATATAATATAAATATTTATTATCGATAGCTCAACAGAAATGAAAACTTGAGTAAAGCTGAAGTAATACGAGGATCCGCTGCAAGACCACCAAAGGGTAAAGTTTATATGAAAAAATATGAAAAATTTTACTGACTTAATAAATCTGAGTACTTATAACAGGCCTTATAACTCCGAAAATTAATAAACCTTACCACTATCATTTACAGTACACTTTCATTACTCTTTGTATAGAGGCTTATTTTATATCCAATTTACCCTATACTACATAATATTTATTAATTGGTATTTTCAATCCAATAGTTTCTTATACATTCCAACAATGGTGAAAAGTCTTTTAGTGGTTGCAATACGTTTTTTTCACGATTAAGATAAAAAGAACAACATTGTAAATCTAACATCTATGTTTACCATAAAGTCCTGTAATATGCGGATTATGTGTATGTGATACGTGAAGCAGAAAATTCAGTTATCACTGTGAAAAGGTTTAAAACAATATTTGAAAAACGAAATTTAATTCGTTACTACTTCGACGGTAAAATTGGACGTAGAAATCACATAAAACAATTTATAGTAATGATTATGAATTTAATATTGAACTTAAGAACTGTTTATTAGATTATTTGTACTGTATTGAATTGTTATCAATGTTACAAATATATACTACAAATGAATAATCGTTTATTTATATCACATCAAATTATTTCACACAAACTAAGAATTTACTAAAACACGTATACAAAATTTTCTGTAATGATATGGCCTAGAATATTTTGAGATTTTGTATATAATTTTTAAGGTATGAAACATCCTTATCCTAAGGCTCTTTACATGAGTTCGATGCCGAACCGATCGTCGATTTAAATTGCATCTTACCAATGGAGCGCGATGCAGTTCGACAAACTTATTGAAGATCTGAAATATGACTCTTTACTCATGGCTCTATACAATTCGACCGATTTTTCTAAATTCAAATATTTTTATTTATGAAGTATAAAGTGTCTGTGTTTACGGTTTCGCATGCACGTGAACAATTGGTTAACGCGTTTGATAAGAGATTGTGAATATTAAGGGACGTTCACAAAAGCCGGTAATCGGATGGGTGATCTCTTTTTATTTGGCCGAGTGGGGTGGGGCGGAACAGGCGTTGCGGGATGAGGCAGGGTGGTACGGGGCGGAGCCGAGAATGGCAAGTTTTTGCTCACTTTTCTTCTCTTGTCGTATGCGCCACGTACTCTAGCTTAGTATCGTGTAATAATAATAATAATAATACCATTTAAATGGTCACCCATCCAATTCGCAGATCAAACACACTAACTACTTCAACATCCATTTAATCCACCCGACATTCGTTACAGGACCCGCGTGTAGGTCCCACCGCGGATTGGTGGTGTTAAAGTACATTTATTCTCAATTGATGAAACCAATCAACCAACATTCCACACTGGGCCCGAGAAAAAGTCCAAATGAGGATTCGCGGTACTTAAACATTGATATAATTAATAATGAAACCAATCCACCCTGCATTCCTAATTGGGCCCACGTGGAGGTCTCAGTATAGACTGGTGGTGCACCGCTATTCTTAATGGATAAAATCAATCTTCTCAGTAATCCGTACTGAGCCAACGTGGTCGTCCTAAATCGTTCCAAATCAATTTACCACCATCTTATTACCGTCCTGTGCAATTGCAGATCAAACACACAGAATTCCAATTTAATGTCTAGGAGATTTGTGACCTATATTGACAAATTGTAAATCCCTGTGACCATTACTGATATGTGAGCTAACAAACACTTGCGATTCTCCACATATTAAATATGGGGCACGATTCGAGCGATATCGCTCATAGAGAGTATCTAAAATAAATAATAAAAATATATTTATTGTAACAAAAAGTTTAATAATAGCTGCAGTAGCTAAAAAATTGAATCATATGAAAAGTCTCACTTAACGAACATGCTGGTCACCCTATTTGAATGAGACAAATTGTCTCTGTACTTGATATCTCGCTCGACTGACTTTTCAGCTGGGAATACTTAGTCCTGTTATAAGTATTAAATCAAAAATTACTACAAAATCTACAACGAGTACATTTACATAAAGATAAGAATAAAGAATAAAAGGTATAACCTATGTATAAAAAGGATATAAAAAAGGATATATGTACAGTACGTAATTTTTGATTTTTCGCTGATATTAACAAAAAGAATTGATATCAACATGGCACAAAATATTTACGTGATGAAAAGTATATTTTGTTTTGTAATAAAAATAAAACTGCTGATTTCTTTTTTTGTTTTACTTTTTTCAGAAAAGAAATATAATGTCGCATTATTAATAAGGTAAGTTCACTGTATTTTTATATTATGTATTTTGAAAAAGTACTCAATTAACACTGATTTGTTACAATATGAACAAAATACAAATGTATTGTATATAGATATTCCTTTGTATTTAGTAGAAACTATTTTATTCAGTAAGCGGCGACCTTCAATGTTTTCATAATCGGAACTCAACTGTTCATAATGAAGTATTTGTAAGGTAATTTTGTTCAAAAGCTGCCTTGCAATAATCCAAAATTAATCATGTTTAATTAACAAACTGATTATGAAGTAGATTAAAGTATTTGGAAAACCACATAATTTGGAAAACCACATAATATTCTCTTATAGCTAAGAGCTTCTGTTGCGATTGGAATGAAATAGTTCGTATATTTTAATAACATACCGATCATTAAATACTAATCTTCGATCAAGAACTAGGTACATATGATTAAAATGAAATTTAAATAAAAACACATGTAAGAAATTATATTCCAAAGTAACATTGATTTTAATATAATTAGAGTTTAATACTATTTCAATACTTCAAGTACAATTTACGGTGTGGAAAGAAATAACAACACTTATTGAAACTATATACTTAGTGAAAACAATATCCTACGCGAAATGTTGTGTCGTCATCGCATTACGCAACTAATTGTCTACTTTTAGTGGAAAAGTTGGAAAATAGTTGATATTTCTTAAAACAGATTTCTGTACTTCGAAGTTCAAAATAGAAAAAATGGTACAAAATATTATCTACTGATAATCAGCTTCACCAAACAATATGTTTCGCGTTACTCCTATCAAAATAATCAAAAATATAACATTAATAAAAGTAGAGTAGTAGTCAGATTTTTAAGAAACATTTCTAATATTTTGTGACATATATTTTATTGTTTTAAATGTCAAATCAATTATTCTAGGTATATTTTATAATATGGAATTGTTAACATAATGGTTTTCTATAAAATTACATATAAAGTGTTACCGACACAATAGAATGGAAAAGTCCATTTTACTTTCTACAATAAAAACAAATGAAATGCAAACAACATTGTTATGTGTTGAGTTCAGACGGCAAATGTTCCTATGAAATGACAAATAATTGTACTTATAAAAAATGTAACCGCTCTATTTGCACTCGATTTGAAGTGATGAACATTGGAGATATTTTTGTTTCTTAAATGGTTGAAAAAGGAAGGAAAATCCTAAGACTGATTCCAGGTTTTTTTTTTCTAATAAAGAGTTGTTATTTTGTTCTATTAAGGTTTAGGCTTCACGATGGTCACATATGATTTGGATAATAATTTGGTGTACCTTTTTCGAAGCGACTTTGCTCGCGGAAATTATAGCCTATGTTACCCGCGTATAATGTATCTTTTAGTAGATGAAAGATTTTTTATAATTAATCCAGTAGTTTCGAATACTATTCGATATAAACAGACAATTTATTTTTACGTCTTTATAATAGTAGTATAGATAACACTAGTAAGCATACGTTTATCAAAAGAGTTAAAATTAACTCGTTTTAACATTATACATTTCAAAACTATAGTTTAATCAAACTAAAAATAACTAAAATATCATAGCAAATTAGTAAGTTTATCATATGAAGTTGTCATTTCCGTTGAGCAAAGTAAATAAAAGTTTAAAGTATGTTTTACGAGCGACAAATTGGTGGAGAGCTAGTTTCGATTTCATAAAATAAACCAGTCACCTGACGTCACAGATTGCGACGTTTGTACTGCTACCATCTTTTACCTGTACAGTTAAAGTCTACAGTGCTATTCTATAATAAAAAAGGCTAGAACTCGACATTGATATTAATGCTACCAATATATACTTACAGATTCAATCAAATAAAAATCTACTCCAAAAGTTATTAAAGGTATTATTTCATTGAACCTCTTAGTTGAGACAGCGATTTCGTTGAATTAGAGCCTATTTTTTTCTGTAATAAAAGCAGATTCTAACTCTATGCTGATTACAGTTAGCGCTGGCACAGTATAGGGGTTCAATAAAAAAAAACGCTTCTCCAAAAGCTAATAAAAGTTGTTCATTATTGCTCTATCCTGTCACAGAGCTGTGCTCGGCATTGAGTTCAAGACAGTTTTTTTTTATAGAATAGCTGTTTTAAAGACCGTATGGGATGGGTCACACATGTGAATGACTA